AAGTGATTCAATACAAACTGGTGCCCGAAAGGCGCGAAATGATTCGCCAGAAGTGGTGGACACGACTGCAAGGCTGTCAGCGCTCTGTCGAGGACTGGCAAAAGATACTTCAGGTCCACTCTCTGGTCCTTCTGCCGCACGACGACATGCGCTCTCACCTTAAGTTCGCTAAACTGTGCCAACGAAGCGGCCGTTTGGGTCTCTCCTACCGGACACTGGTCACACTCCTGGAGACCGACGCCTCTAATCTCGGTATGATTTTTATACGATAACTGTTTTTACGAGACATCAGAGCTATTAATCTTAATTTGTACGATCAGTTCCCGGAGTCCCGCTGCCCACCAAATACCCGATGGTTACCTTCCGATACATTGAGCACATGTGGATCTCTGGCCAAAAGGAGGAGGCGTTCCAACAGTTGGCGCACTTCACCCAATCGACGCTCATTCCGCAGAACATCCACTTCTTGGCCAACGACGAGACACAACAGATACACCAGAGGAATGAGTTGAACAAACTGTTGTCGCGGTGTTATCTAAAGTTAGGCGAATGGCACGAAAACCTGCAGGGAATCAACGAGAACTCCATTAACGTAATACTTCAGTACTATTTGGCGGCCACCGACGGAGTAAAGAGCAAAGCGCCAAAATGTTAGGCCACTTGTTGGCCACAACTCCCCGACTAATCAGACCATACACTGAACCCATACTTAAAGTATTTTTGCCAAAACTCAAAGATCCGTCACAGTCTGTGGTGACCGCAGTCCTCAGCGCTATTGGTTTGTGTCCATAGTTTTATTGTTAGTATTTTTGGTTTCTTATGAATGAATTGTTTGACAAACAGGAGAACAGGCGATAGTGAGCGGCACCGAAATGAAGAAGTGGATCGACGAGTTGTTTCCTATTATTCTGGACGCGATTCAGGACTCGTCGTCGCACCAGAAGCGTGAGGTCGCTCTCTGGACATTAGGACGTCTGGTGGAGAACTCGGGTTATGTGGTGGAGCCGTACTGGAAATACCCCAACCTTTTGGATATTTTGTTCAATTTATTAAAGTCGGAATCGACTCAAAACTCGCAACTCATCCGCCGCGAGACCATACGAGTGCTCGGACTTCTCGGCGCTGTCGATCCCTATCGACATAAAGTCAATTTGGGAGTCATTGACCAGTCGGGCGATCCGTTGATAGCGCACGAGCCGATCATCGATCAAGGTTTGAGGCGTTGATATAGTTATTGATAAATGGCAATCAATTTCAAACTGATTTCAATTGATTAATAGACTTCAACGCACACGAGATGCTGTCCAACGTGTCGTCCAATTTTGACGACTTCTACTCAGCGCAGGCCATAGCGACGCTCATGCGTGTGATGAGAGACCAGGCGCTGAGCGGTCACCACACGATGGCCGTGCAGGCCGTGGCCTTCATATTCAACGTGTTGGGCGTGCGTTCGGTGCCATACATTCAACACGTTTTGCCCCCATTTATGAATGTCATCCGAACGGGTGAACCGCATATCAGAGAAGTATGCGCTTTAATGGCAACTGATTTTTGTATTTATATTTAATTGTATGTTTTGTTTGTGGCGATAGTTTTTGTTGCAACAATTGGGACAAATGATAGCCATCGTTAAGATACACATCAGGAACTATTTGGATGAGATATTCCGTGTGGTGCGCGAGTTCTGGACAACCAATTCGCCGATGCAAACAACGCTCATCAATGTTGTCGAACAGATTGTCATTGCATTGGGCGGCGAGTTTAAGATATACGTGCCGTATCTCATCCCACATATACTCCGCGTGTTTGCCAATGATAAGAGTGTCCGCCGGAGCGTAACCGTCAAACTGCTCAGTAAGTTGTGTTTTACATTTATTTTGTATTTTTGTTGATTGGATTTGTTTTTATAACGTTTTGATTATTATTTTTACAGACGCTTTGCAAAGTTTTGGCACAAATCTCGACGATTACATGCATTTGTTGATCCCTCCTATTGTCAGACTCTTCGAGTCGAGTGATATAAAAGACAGTGACGTGAAGATAGCGGCCCTTAAGACCATCGATGTCCTGTCCGAAGACCTCCAGTTAACAGAACTTTCGCCGCGAATAATACACGCTATCGTTCGCACCATTGATAGCAATCCATTTGATAGAGTGAGTCGACAATCGGTTATATTTTTGGTGATTTTGTATATTTATTGAATAAGTTTTGTTTATTTAGGATTTAGTAAATCAAGCGATGGATACGCTGTCGGCGGTTGTCCTGCAATTGAACCGTCGGTACCAGATATTCATACCAATGGTGAGCAAAGTTCTGCAAAAACACAAAATAAGTCATCAAAAGTACGACATTCTGGTGACGAAAATAAGCGACGGGTCAACCATTGGAGACTCCGATGACGACCCGATGATGTCCGGCAAGAGACACATTAAACGCGGCAGAAATCAATTCAAAGACCCGTCCGGTTCGGTACCGGATCCCAAACGAAACCCTGTTTTGTTGACAGACCTGCAGAGGGCTTGGACTCAATGCTCGCGACGCGTCTCCAAAGAGGATTGGTTGGAATGGCTTAAGATTCTGAACATTGATTTGATCCGCGAGTCGCCAGCGCTGGCCCTCCGCTCCTGCTTTCCATTGGCTCAGGCGTGCAGTTCTGTGGCCCGCGATCTCTTCAATCCGGCGTTTCTCAGCTGTTGGAACGAATTGAATGAAGAACACCAAAAGGTATGACATTGTTTTGCACACATATGTCCGCAAACAGTGATTGATATATTGTTTGTCGACAGGAATTGATTCAATCAATACAAGACGCGCTGATGCAACAGGACATCCCAGAAGTGACCGGAATTCTGTTGAATTTGGCCGAATTCATGGAACACGTGGATCGCGGACCGCTTCCACTCAACGAGAAGACATTGGCCGAGAGGGCCATTAAGTGTCGGGCGTTCGCCAAAGCCTTGCACTACAAGGAGGAAGAGTTTAAGGATAAGGAAAAGGGACCGACCACTGAAGTGTTGGGCGCACTCATCAGTATCAACAATAAGCTGCAACAGCCGGAGGCAGCCGTCGGTGTCTTAGAGTACGCCAACAAAAACCAATTCAACGACATTGAGGTGAAGGAGCGCTGGTATGAGAAACTGCACGACTGGGAGAACGCACTGAAAGCCTATAAACTGAAGTCGGATAAAGACCCGAAGGATGTGGAGTCAGTGGTGGGACAGATGCGATGTCTGGAAGTGTTGTCCGAGTGGTCAAAGTTGTATAACTTGGCGGTCGTGTCGTTTCCCGAAGTGAATCAGGAAAACAAGCAAAAGATGGCTCGCATGGCGTCAACAGCCGCCTGGGGTTTAGGCCACTGGACACAAATGGAGGAATACACGAAACACATTGCGGCCGACACTCCCGACTCCGCCTTCTATCAGGCGATACTTCAGGTATGTGTTGAATCATTGGTCGATGGGTTATATACTTGTATTCATGAACTGTTTGTTTTGTCACAACCATTAGATCCATTACCAGAACTACAACAGAGCGCAGACGCTGATAGACAAGTCGCGCAAACTGATTGACACCGAACTGACAACAATGGCGGGCGAGATCAACAATAAGCTGCAACAGCCGGAGGCAGCCGTCGGTGTCTTAGAGTACGCCAACAAAAACCAATTCAACGACATTGAGGTGAAGGAGCGCTGGTATGAGAAACTGCACGACTGGGAGAACGCACTCAAAGCCTATAAACTGAAGTCGGATAAAGACCCGAAGGATGTGGAGTCAGTGGTGGGACAGATGCGGTGTCTGGAAGTGCTGTCCGAGTGGTCAAAGTTGTATAACTTGGCGGTCGTGTCGTTTCCCGAAGTGAATCAGGAGAACAAGCAAAAGATGGCTCGCATGGCGTCAACAGCCGCCTGGGGTTTAGGCCATTGGACACAAATGGAGGAATACACGAAACACATTGCGGCCGACACTCCCGACTCCGCCTTCTATCAGGCGATACTTCAGGTATGTGTTGACTGATTGGTCGATGGGTTATACACTTTGAATGTATTCATGAACTGTTTGTTTTGTCACAACCATTAGATCCATTACCAGAACTACAACAGAGCGCAGACGCTGATAGACAAGTCGCGCAAACTGATTGACACCGAACTGACAACAATGGCGGGCGAGTCGTANTGTATTCATGAACTGTTTGTTTTGTCACAACCATTAGATCCATTACCAGAACTACAACAGAGCGCAGACGCTGATAGACAAGTCGCGCAAACTGATTGACACCGAACTGACAACAATGGCGGGCGAGTCGTACAACAGGGCGTACGCGCCGATGGTTCAGATCCAGATGATGTCCGAACTCGAGGAAGTGATTCAATACAAACTGGTGCCCGAAAGGCGCGAAATGATTCGCCAGAAGTGGTGGACACGACTGCAAGGCTGTCAGCGCTCTGTCGAGGACTGGCAAAAGATACTTCAGGTCCACTCTCTGGTACTTCTGCCGCACGACGACATGCGCTCTCACCTCAAGTTCGCCAAACTGTGCCAACGAAGCGGCCGTTTGGGTCTCTCCTACCGGACACTGGTCTCACTCCTGGAGACCGACGCCTCTAATCTCGGTATTACTTTTATACGATATCTGTTTTTACGAGACATAATAGCTATTAATCTTAATTTGTTGATCAGTTCCCGGAGTTCCGCTGCCCACCAAATACCCGATGGTTACCTTTCGATACATTGAGCACATGTGGATCTCTGGCCAAAAGGAGGAGGCGTTCCAGCAGTTGGCGCACTTCACCCAATCGACGCTCATTCCGCAGAACATCCACTTCTTGGCCAACGACGAGACACAACAGATACAGCAGAGGAATGAGTTGAACAAACTGTTGTCGCGGTGTTATCTAAAGTTAGGCGAATGGCACGAAAACCTGCAGGGAATCAACGAGAACTCCATTAACGTAATACTTCAGTACTATTTGGCGGCCACCGATCGCGACAACAATTGGTACAAAGCGTGGCATTCGTGGGCTTATATGAACTTCGAAGCCGTCAACTTCTATAAGGTATTTGTCGCTATTTTGGCCATATTTCACGTGTTTTACTATATTTTTACACCATTTTATAGGGTCTTCACTCGTCAGCCGACGGCCAGTCGCCCGCAGAGCCGACAACTGCCACGTCTTCACCGGTCGGTTCACTACAACCGCTCAAAACTAAATACGTTCGCGAATACTGTGTGCCGGCTGTGCGCGGCTTTTTCCGATCGGTGTCCTTAGCTCACGGATCTAGTCTTCAGGACACACTCAGAATACTGACCATTTGGTTCGAAGAGGGACAGCACCAGGAGGTGTACGAGGCGTTGGCCGAAGGCATTAAGACAGTGCCCATCGAGACGTGGCTTCAAGTATTGTTTGAGTCGTGTTTTTATGCAAAACTAATTATGTTTTTCTCAACTTTTCAGGTCATTCCTCAACTGATCGCCCGAATCGACACAACGAGACAATTGATTGCACGCCTTATCCATCAGTTGCTGATAGACATCGGCAAACATCACCCGCAGTCACTCATATACCCGCTGACAGTGGCGTCGAAGGCGTCAGCGCCGGGCCGTCAGGCATCGGCCAAAAAGATATTAGACATAATGCAAGTCCATTCACCCAATTTAGTACAGCAGGCAATGCTTGTCAGCGAAGAGCTGATCCGAATCGCCATTCTTTGGCACGAGTTATGGCACGAAGGACTGGAAGAGGCGTCGAGGCTCTACTTCGGCGAACGCAACGTCAGAGGAATGTTTGACATTTTGGATCCGTTGCACCAAATGTGCGATAGAGGACCACAGACTCTGAAAGAGATGAGCTTTAATCAGGCCTACGGTCGCGATCTCAGCGAAGCCCAGGACTGGTGTCGGTGCGTACGCCTCTCTCTCTCTCTCTCTCTCTCTCTCTCTCTCTCTCTAAATCTGATTTCAATTTGTATTTGAAATGATAGCAAATATCAACTCCACGGTAACGTCAAAGACCTGACCCAAGCGTGGGATACTTATTACCATGTGTTCAGACGAATATCGAAACAATTGCCACAATTAACGTCATTGGAGTTGCAATACGTGTCGCCCAAACTGATGACATGCCGTGACCTGGAGCTGGCGGTTCCCGGTTCTTATAACCCCAATCAACCGCTCATACGTATAGCCAAAGTGGAGTCACAGCTCAATGTGATTACAAGCAAACAACGGCCCCGAAAGCTGTCCATCAAAGGCAGTGATGGACGCGATTACATGTTTTTGCTCAAAGGCCACGAAGACCTGCGACAAGACGAGCGAGTGATGCAATTGTTTGGTTTAGTCAACACATTACTGACCGGCGATCCCGAGACTTCGCAACGAAATTTGGGTATAGTTTTGCAATATTTTGAATTATATTCATGTTTTATAATCTGTTTTGTGTTGTCTTTCATGTGAATAGCGATACAACGATATGCAGTGATCCCGTTGTCGCCCAACTCTGGTCTGATAGGTTGGGTCCCGCACTGCGACACTCTTCACACACTCATACGTGACTATCGCGAGAAGAAGAAGATAATGTTGAACATTGAGCACCGGGTTATGCTCCGAATGGCTCCCGATTACGACCACTTGACTCTCTTGCAAAAGGTGGAGGTGTTTGAACACGCCTTAGAGCACACGTATGGCGACGATTTGGCCAAACTATTGTGGCTGAAGAGCCCCTCATCCGAAGTGTGGTTCGATCGGCGAACCAATTATACCCGAAGTCTGTCCGTTATGTCAATCGTGGGCTATGTCTTGGGTTTGGGTGACAGACATCCGTCGAATCTGATGTTAGACCGAATGTCCGGCAAAATATTGCACATCGATTTCGGCGACTGTTTCGAAGTGGCGATGACTCGCGAGAAGTTCCCCGAAAAGATCCCATTCCGGTACTCATCCGTTAGATCTGTGTTTTGTTATGTGATTAATGTTTTATTGTTGACTGTAACATCGATTTCGGCGACTGTTTCGAAGTGGCGATGACTCGCGAGAAGTTCCCCGAAAAGATCCCATTCCGGTACTCATCCGTTAGATCTGTGTTTTGTTATGTGATTAATGTTTTATTGTTGACTGTCTTGTGGTATAGATTGACCCGAATGTTGATCAACGCGATGGAAGTGACGGGAATTGAGGGCACGTATAGAATCACGTGCGAGAAAGTGATGCGAGTCCTGCGCAACAACAAGGACTCGTTGATGGCAGTGCTCGAGGCCTTCATTCACGACCCCATCTTCTCCTGGAAACTCATCGAAGGTTTTTCACCCAAAATTGGTCTCATATTTAACGCATTTATTAATTGATTTTATGTTTGCATTCAATCGACAGCTCAACCGAAACTGAAGCACTCGATCGACCTCTTGGACGAAGACGAAGGCGCAGTCGGCGGTGCCCTCACCGGCGCCTCCGCCTCGAAAAAGCCTCCCCTCTCGACCTCCACGTCAACAATCGGTGTCATATCCGAGAGCACAGGACTTCCGCACGAAGGGCTCAATAAGAAAGCGTTAGCCGTTATAAACCGAGTGCGCGATAAGTTGACGGGCCGTGACTTTGAGGCCCACCTGAGTCTCGATGTGGCCGAACAGGTGGATCTGCTCATACGTCAGGCCACTTCGCACGAGAACCTGTGCCAGTGTTATATCGGTTGGTGTCCCTTCTGGTGATGGCCCCCTCCCGTTCCCCGAACCCAATCTTGTTTTTAATTGTCAATTCGATTGTATATTTGAGACTCAAATTTGTACTCAAAAATTGACGATAATTTATATTTTTGTTTTTTTCTAATCAGAAATATTTATCACAAATTAATTACAATATTTTGTAAAACGACAAATGTTTTTACAACAAATCAATTGCTTTAAAAATTTAATAACGCTTTGAATGAGAAAATAAGTGTTGATTTTGTTTTTCAACAAATTGTTTAATTTTTTATAATATTATTATTAAGCAAATCATTCGCTTGTTATATTGGTTTTAAAATGTTATATTCTCGATATTAATTATTAATAATAATAATAAATTGTTTGTAAAATATAGTTAACTCTATTTTTAGCGAGAGTTATAAACTTCAGATTTAAACCATGAATTGAAAACTCAATGATAAATAAAATTCAAGTCAAATATACTGTTATTGTTTTATGCCATCAGTTGTGACACTCATATAATGCCAACCCCTTTCTCGAGGTCTTGCGGACCGAACGACTTGGGCAACAGTGCGGCCAACGATGTCTTCTCGTACGTGAGATCAGGTCTAACCAAATATATAACCAAATCGGTTGAGAACTGAATCACAAGTTTAAAAATACATTTGAAAACACAGAATCGCTGCGTAAGAATCGGTAGTAATGAATGCAAACCTCGCGTATAAACTGTCGACACGTACCGCACGGGACAATGATGTCGGGCGCCGGCATATTGGATGTGATGGCTATGGCCTTAAATTCTCTGAACCCATCGGACACGGCCTTAGCGATGGCCGTGCGTTCGGCGCATATACAGCCAGTATAGGCGGCGTTCTCTATATTACAGCCTATGGGCGCACGTATTGAATGAGTAAACAAATATTACAAACAATATTTCAATTCTTGTAAGAATGGCAAAGAAGTGAATCAAACCTCGATATATGACACCACTGGTGGTCTCGATGGCGGCCCCGACGGCAAACTTGCTGTACGGGATGTAAGCGTTTTTGATGGCCTCCCGGCACTCAATCAGAAGCTGTTTGATGTTAGGCTCAGACACTCTCTCAGCCATATCTGCCCACTAATGGGAAAGAAGTTTTGTTTGCATTTGCATTATATATTGATTTGAAGTTTCAATGAATTCATACGATAAGAAAGCCCTCAATTGAAGAGATATTCTGATTATTCGCTGAATTAATGTGTTTTCAATTCAAGGATTTTATCAATAATGAAGTGAATTATCTAATCATTCAATTAAATTCAATGTATGTTTTATTAGGTGTTTCAATGAGAATCAATGGATCGGAACTATGAAAGTAAAAGTTGAATGCATTTTGAATTTTTACTTCACATTAGCATTAATTATAATTCACATTTAATTTCAATATATTCTATAAGTTTAGTGTAAATCAGTTAATGGACTCAATATTATGTTTTCTATGATTTATGGGATTTATAGGAAAATTTTTCATATAATATTTTTTATAGTGTCGGGAATATTAATCATAAAATTCTTGTGTCCACTCATTATCACCGGAATATTGTTTAGATTCTGGTTTAAAATTCTAAGGATTCCTCTATTATTATAATTGTCAATAAAAATGATGTGTTAATACTTTTTATGCATTTAACATGAAATCATTTATAAATATGCGATAATTAGTACAAAACACTTGATATATAACTAACATTAATATAATTGGGATTTAGAGTTGTATTAAAAATATGTGTTTAAATAGTGTTAAAGAATATATCAATCAATTCTGAAGCAAACTTTTATTCAATGAAAACATTATTTGTGTTGAAATTCAGCAAATACTGTATTTTGCAAAAACGCCTCAAAAAACATTGTTTTTATCCAAACATATGATCGCAAAAACTTTCAAAACTCACAATTAATTGACGTTTAAATCAATTAATTGTTGTTTTGAATGACAATTAGTGTGCGATTGGAGTGCATATAAGACACTGAATAACGATATGACAGATATGTCTAATAATATAGACTTTGATTCACTTTTATT